GCTGAATTTTGCTACCCTATACTAGAGTAAACTCCCAAAATCCCCCTATCCTAGAGTAGCTGTTTCCCCAGTCTAGATAAAATCTTCAACCAACTGATCAGTTTCCTGAAAAATGATACCCTATTCTAGACCCAAACGCCCTGATTTATATACCCTAGCCTAGAGTAAACTGCTTGAAAACCATACCCTTCACAGCGGCACATACCCATATAGCCCATATATGGCAGTACCCCCCGGGGGTGGCACGTGTCTGCAAATTTAGTTTTATAAAGGTGATTTTGAAATCACACTTTGGCCATTTCTTTTTGGGCGCGTAAGAAATACTTCAAAAACTCTGTTGTTTCTTGTTTGCAGTGGAACCAGGGGACATGCCATAGGGTCCCGTTACCCCACCCCAAATATTCGCTCAATCCGTAAAATCTAGATCATTTTGTTAAGGCATCCTTCATCCTATACGCGTCTCGAAAAAATAATCGGGGACCCTTATGCCATAGTGTCCGTAGGGTATGAAGACGAACGCAGACATTTTCACGAGGAAACGTTATTCAGTTTCTAAACTGTAACTGTAACAAGTTCATCCCAAGGAACCTCACGATCTTTTATAATATATAGTTTCGGACTAAAATTATAGGGTCAGTTATTAAAACGGAGTTAAGCCCGTGTTTAACAAAACCGAGTCCCAAGCCATTTTGAGCCAATCGCTTTTATGCAAACACCATTTATCGTGAACAGTTTCATGAAAGCATATAGAGTAGACTGGAAAAGTTTTTGTCTTCTTGAAATAACCCACTATGGACGAGATCTGGAGGTCCAAAGATTGCTTAAACCGCGGTCTAAATTAGACTTCGGTTAAATAACCGACCCAGGAACTTTAACGTATTGTTCTTGAAACATTTTGAAACACGACAATGGAATCCGTCTTCTGTCATGGGCACCCAACGACAGTGTCCTTCTAAATACATTGAAAACACTTTTTAGGCTGTCCAGAGTACTTTTAGATATCTAGAAATGCATTCTAAGCGGTGCTATAAAATTTGTATCTGTTCGGTCATCTTAGGGGAACTTGAGTCTTTTCGAAATTACAAGGGCTTCAGTATTATTTTCCCGAACATTTTAAATACAATTTAACGTATTACGAAAGTGAGAATTTTTCTGATTTCTCTCTCTATCACATTTTCAAAGCCGAAAATTTTCGGAAAGTCGTAGGGAAAATATTAGGTAAGCGTCGAAAATTGTATATATGAATGGAACGATCATCTAGAAATTTTTATCCTTCCTCAAGTCATAAAAAATTCTAAGCGACATTTGTTTCTCCGAACATATATTTTACAGAAAACCGTCGTTGGGTACCCCTGTTTTGTAAAGACACGGAAAACTGGAAGACAGGTTTTCGCACAGGATTCAAATAAAATTCAACATGTTTTGAAATTTGCTCTAAATTCACCATCACTTTAAGGCAGTAAGCAGCTTTTATGAAGGAAACAATTTTAAACTGTGTTTAACTGAACAGCCTTTAAATTTGTTTAAGCTTTGATGTGAATGGGGCTTTAGACTTCGTTTATACAACCGATCCCATCTGATTCATCGAATGCCAGGAAAGTGCACGTGATGCTCACGCCAGTTTTAATGACTAAAATTGATACTTAGTGTCCTTAATTGCTCAAGCTCTTACCCTGGTCCCAAAGGTTTTCTCCGCAAGAGAGAGAAAGAGCCGCGAAACTATGCGTGAATGTAAGTCGCGTTTATTTTTGCAAATGTTAATTTGCGAGCTGTTAAGTAAGTGCAGTTTCCGCGACCTTAACTTTCACAGGAGCCCATCCCTGATCTCCATCATTTTGGCCCCAAATTCTTGATACACTTTTGACATTCTTGACACCGAGGAGAATTTTATCAGGGTGAAGATGCGCTAGTACATTTATCATTGAAACAGTGTAAAGAATCCTCGCAGTGGCCAGATTTGTTCGCTTGAACCCCTTCGTACGTTGAGGAAGTACCACAAACAAAGTTTCCATTTGGTGTTATACGTTTAACTTTGTTCCTGTTGTCTCGACATGTTTTGATTCTTTGTGAACGTCGCGTTAATTTCCTTCACTTTGAAAAACATGTTACCCTCTCTTTCGCTTGAAAGTCGTTTTCCATAAATTTCGCGCAAAACGTGAAAAAAACGCTCACCTTTCCCTGCGGATTTTTCCTCTTGGACTGAGCTTGTATCACTCATCTTATCATCTTCGCATTTGGCCAACAGAAACTCTTCAAATTCAAGTTGCTTTTTGCTTTGAAACCCTATTCCATTTTTTACCTGATTCCAATTATAATTATTCCAATTCGTTATAACGAACGTCGTTTAATCTCTTAATAGAATGGCTTTATTTTCTTCGTTTCTTCGTTTCTTCGACTAGGTCTGCCACGCTTTGGCGGCAAACCTGAAGTCGACGCCATTTTCGATCTAAAAGGGACCCTTTTAAGTCGCGTTAATTTTCAATACTTTAATTTCATGGAGCATCATATCTCAAGTAGTTTGAGGCCTGGGACTAAAGGGTTTACCTGTGGAAAATGATTTATTGGCTGTAACTTTCGAAATTAACTTAGATGATGGTGCTGAATTAAGATTTGGCACAAATGAAGAAGTCATCGTTCTTAAAATTTTAAAGTTTAAATAGTGCGTGAATTGGTCACGTGATATCTCAAGTGATCATTTTGCTAAAAAGCGTAAATTATTGTACTGCCCAGTTGGTGGCCGGTTTAAGAAAAGAAATCGAGCAATGACATTTTTCTTCACATTTCACATTTCACACTTCGCATTTGGAATGACCGTCCATTGCACTTCAAGAAGAAATTATGAGGGAAAACATCATTTTAAGTTCCCAGATTTAATCTTGAATTATTTAAAACTTTAATTTTAAACTTCGCGTACATTCATTCCAAACGTAGAAAGTTAGGTATTTCTATCCTCTCTCAGAAATGCCGATTTGTTTATCCAAACAAAGTAAATTCGCCACCAATTCGCCAATTTCCTTCATTTTCAACTTTTGGTCACGTGACCATAATTAAACGCTAAGGCACAAGAAAATCTCAAGATTTACTTTTGGGGAAAACTTCATTTTGTTCTAGGTCTCCTAGCGAGAGATATTGCCAATCATTCATACGCTCCGAACACACCTTTGACCCAGGCCTAAAAACTCCTTGAGATAATAACGTGTCCAGGAAAATGGGATGCTCCTTAGCACTGGTAACTATTTGTTGTTAGTGCGCACAGGTGCTGGACGACCTATCACGCTGTTAGATCTGGCTAGCTTTTCCCACGTAGGCGTTTTAAAGGGAGTCGTATTTCTTCCCTCCCAGTTTCGTGGAAGGGAGGAAAAGAAGGCTAGGAGGGTATGCCATATGGTGCTCTTTCGTCATACTGAAGTACAGTCAAACCCCTTTTGTACGGACACTGAGGGGGCCATAAAAAGTGTCTATATTAACTAGATGTCGGTATTGATCGGGCTTTTTTCTTTCCCCAGGGATATAACAAACTGTCCGTAATAATGTGGTGTCTTTAGTAAGCGCGTGTCCGTGAAGCGGGGTTTGACTGTATGAAAAGCGTATTTTCTTTTTGCAATGGCCTTAGAACACGCGAAAATTCAACTTACCAGTCGAAACAGCCAACAGCTATACAAGTCTTAATATTAACTTATTGTTTAATTTTGGAAACAAAAGAAAAGGAATTCGGGAATGCTATGGAAAAAAAGTGTGGGTATGAGGTGCGGGATTTTCGTTAAAGGGGAAGGGGAATGCGGGATCAGACCCTGAGACATGTTTCAACGGCTCAACTGTCATCTCTCCTTTGAAGTCGCGAAATACAGAGTTGAATTTATAATATAAATTACATTCATTGTTAATAATCGGAAAAAAAAAAGTATTAATGACAACATGACAAAGGTCAAGAAACATGACAATGTGTGACTATAAAGAAAGTTTTAAATTTGCATGGTGCCTTTGTTGGTTAAAAGAAGGTTGTTCATATTTTTTTAATAGTTTCCCCTATCTTTAGTTGAGAAATTGATCCAAAATATTGAAAACATTACGGGAATGTAAACGAGTGCCTCAAGTGCTAGAATACGTTACCCGTGTGGAAAAATGTCAGGTTGGTTTTCTAATTAGACTGTTCACAGTCCCTTTTTTTCTCTTAAGATCGTCAGGACCGGTAGGGACGGCCATTTTTGGTTTCACAAGTACCGAGGGGTCGGGAGTCGGGGTTTCCGGCAGTGGATCGGAGGGGAAGGAGGCGGCCATCGTGGTTCCTCCCAAGGCTTCCCCCGCAAACTAAGTAGATTTGACAGTAATCCAAGATGACAGTCTTCGATCTCGACAATCATCACGGAAAAATAGGGGGTTGTGGACAGTCTATTTTCCAGGCAAAGAGGAGGAGCATTGCGAGACGAGACGAAATCGGCTGCGTTGGAGTCTGCAGCTTGCGTGCACACGTCTCCTGTGTTTTTTTGCCTTTCGCATACAACGAAGAAAAAGACAGCCCGTACACAATAAAATTGAAAAAAACAACACATATACGGACTCCTCGGAGAATAAGTGTTTTTCTATCTGCCTATTTTTCTGGACGAAAAGACCAATTTAATATCTAAGTTACGTTTGATTAACGTTGTTAGTCTATTGCAGCCGTTTTTGTCTCGTCAAGCAACGCTCCTTGACGAGACAAAAACGGCTGCGGAGGGAGACTAAGATTAAAGTGGCAAAATACGTTTCTGGGTGACGCTGGAAAAAGGCACCTTTGCTGAAGTAGTTTTTTTAATGAAACGTGGGTGCAGTATCACGTCAGGGCTGTCATGTCAAGGCTTTCATGTTTTTTAACACAGTGCTCTTATTTATATACACAGTAAAGGACAATCTTTAATTGAGATTCAATGGCGCTGCAACAGAGAAAAGGATATGAAGTTCCACCTCGTCTCAGTATTGAACTGCCAACGATGAGAGATCTTCCAAAGACGCCACTAAAACCTTGGAGTGATGTTCAGCTCCCTGTTGATATTCTTTTGTTGACAGTACAAGACTGCGAGTTTTTAGCTTGCTTTGCTTTCTTGAAAAATTCTTTTCAAAGTTATCACAGTACCCTGGGTAACGTGTTCTTTGGGACCATGGGTGAAAGTGGAGAGGAGGCACTGAAAGTTGCTTTAATGAAATGTTCTATGGGTTCTTCTGGTCCAGGTGGCTCTCGAATCCCTATCAAGAATGCAGTTGTCGGGTTGAGACCCAAGGCTACTTTTTCAGTTGGGTACTGCTTCGGTTTAAACCCAGACAGCACCAAGCTAGGAGATGTAGTGGTATCCTCTAAACTTTCCACTGAACAATTAACAACTCCAGTAGGAAGAAAAATGCGCAACCTTATTAAAACGTTTTCAAGTGAAAGCTGGAATCCACCATTAAAAGGTGAAGAAACAGTACAGGTACACCGTGACCGTGGCATATTCAGTGGTACTGTGGGTCAATTTAATTCCACTGGACAACGCCGTTTGTCTCAAACTGGTCCGATTGCACTTGAAAGGAAAGGGGAAGGTAAGATATTGTTTTATATCAGTGTTACGTGTAGTATTTTCCATTTGAATGTGTAGTGATGTGAATAAAGCAGTCATATAATTATCTCCAGGGCATTCGTTCTTGATCAGAAAGAGACATGTGTCATATCCTAGCGTTGTTTCAAACTAAAGCTTTACACAATTGGCCGTAGAACAAACTTAACGGCCAAAAATTACCTTTCTTGTATTAATTAAGACAACAGATGCACGGTCTCGAGCACTAGCCTGTGCCAGACGTTTACGTTGTGGGGACGGCGCAGAGGCATGTGAGCAGGAAAATAACAGTATTCCGTCAAGATTACCGTAATCAACAAAGTTAAATTTTGTTATTGCAACGTCGGTAGATATCAGTGAAAAGTTGACATGCGAGCGATGGGAGTAAGTGAAAAATTGAAGTTACCATCGCGTTCTATGACCCATTCATTATGCTATGCTTTTCACTGGTTAAAAAAAAAGCCTTCAATCTGCTCTTCTATTGCGTATAAAGCGTAAGTATAATAATAATAATAATGACTTTATGTTAGTGTCAATGTATTTAGCTTGACAGTTTGCTAATTGGGGACACTTTCCTAAGTATTGGCACTAATCTATCGCATGATTATTAAATTAATGATCTTGTATTTGTATTTTATTTGCCCAACATAACAAGGGTACATACAATTACAAAAGGATACAAAAAATGTAGGAAGAAATGGCGACGATGCTTAACGGAAACTATAAAGCTCATAACAATTACACCTTTTCGATTACAGTTCAAAGATGGCATAAAAATTGCGGCGACGGATACAAATGTTATTAGATGGAAAAGTAAAATAACAATCAATATTAGAGCGGTTACCACTGACACGCGCCCTCGAAGGGTTTTTTCTCTCTGTTGAAACCTGTGTTTTCGTGGATGTCAATCAACCGTTTCCATGGTCTTCTCACGCGCTCCAGAACTAGCAAGAATTCAGACGAGTTGCGCGCGTGTAGTGAGAAAGCTTATGTGGTTGTAACTTACAGTGTGTTTAAAATAAGTCGATAATTTGATTTTCCTCTGACAAACACTCAACAAATTCGTTCTCCTCGTAATCTTGACGTGAAGCGGTGTCAGATCCTGTAGCAAAATATTGCAAAAACGGCTTAAACGCCGACATTTTCGTCTGAGTGCTCGAGAAACGGGGAAAGAATCTTCTCTTGGCCGACGCGTGAAAACCATAGTAACAGTTGATTGACGTCCACCAAACCGCAGGTTTGAACCGAATAAAAAACCCTTCGAGGGCGCGTGTATGGTAACTGCTGTAAGGACGTTTACAAATGTTGAATATTGAACAGCTTTTAGGTCCCAAGATTTTTGTTAGAGTACACTAATAATTATTACAAATAAATGCCTCAAGTGCAAAGGAAAAAGGAGAGGAAGAGTTGATGATGTTGGTGTTTAAGGTGTTATAAAATTTAGGTCCTTGACAAAATGCCGAAAATTGTTTGATTCGAGTACGACAGAAAGGCAGAGGAAACTTACTAGAGTTTCTTGTATTTCTTGTAGCTAAAACAAACTGACAATTTATGATTTTCTACGAGGGTATTCAAGTTTGATAAGTTTTTTGCTAAGATAGTAAAAGTCATCAAGTTTTTCTTTTTCACTTTGTTGACCACAATTAGAAATCCTGGTGTTTGCCAAATTGTTCAGATTGCATCCTAGAGAACTTAAATTTTCAAAATTTCCCAGGGGGAGCATGCCCCCGGACCCCCCTAGTTTCTCGTGCCTTCGGTACTCATCATTAGCGCTGTCGCGCCAATACTTATACACATATTCCCAGTTATGACCAATACTAGAGAAGTAGCTGCAAAACCTATTTGCTACCCCCACTGGATCAGAAATCTCCTGACCCTCTGCGGACTTAAATATTGTATTTAATTGAGGCCTTGACTTTTTTCTATTTAAAACTTTGTTTAAAATTTTCCAGGTCGCATGTGTATTTGATTTAGCATTTTCCAATTTCTTTTCATAATACCGACGCCTAGCCAAACGCAAGGTGTGACTCAATTTGTTCTTGTATCTTTTGTAGAGTGAAGCATTGTCGACTGTTGGAACTTGAAGATATTTTTTGTAGAGTTTAGTCTTTGTTTTGATGGTAGCCTGCCAGCAAGCTCTCCATTTGGGGGATCATGAAAACTATGCGCGCGAGAGGAGACGCGAAAGTGGGGGGGGGGGGCGGGGTACATGGAAAGGAAAGCTTGCAACGGTCACTCATAAATTTTCATTTCCGCCCCGGAACAGGGGCGTCGGTTTTTCCTTGGTGGGGCATAACTGGGAATATGTGTATAAGTATTGGCGCGACAGCGCTAATGATGAGTACCGAAGGCACGAGAAACTAGGGGGGTCGGGGGGCATGCTCCCCCTGGGAAATTTTGAAAATTTATTAAGTTCTCTAGGATGCAATCTGAACAATTTGGCAAACACCAGGATTTCTAATTGTGGTCAACAAAGTGAAAAAGAAAAACTTGATGACTTTTACTATCTTAGCAAAAAACTTATCAAACTTGAATACCCTCGTAGAAAATCATAAATTGTCAGTTTGTTTTAGCTACCGAGGGCGTAAAAACCGCAAACGCGCCGCAGATTAAAAAAGTGACAACCGCCTGTCAATTTTAGACAGCCGAGGGCGCGTAGAATTTATTTATTTACATTAAATCGCTGTCGCAACAGCTTTCCACTGCATCAAAGCAATGTTTTTGAACACTGATATGTTTTTTTATCCACTGGACTTCGAACTTCAACGTGTCCGCTCGGATAAGAACTCAATACTTTGATTCTCGTTTCGTTTACATTTTATAAGACTCAGAAGACTAAGCTCCCCGTCGCCATCACCAACATTATATATTTTTCCGTTCCGGAAGTGCAGAACAGCAAACATTTGCTTTTAAATTTATTTGTCATAAATATACTTCGATTTTTGGGCCAAATTTTTCTTGTTAGGAAACGCTGAGTTCAGGAAACGGTCTCTTCTACGCGAATAAACACGAAGCCTCGAGCTAACAAGCAACCATGACGATTTTTAATTATCCCAGAAGCGAACCAGCAGCTAGTTGAGGAAAAAGATGCAGATAATGTAAGGATAGTACTTTGTAAATCATTCATTCGGTGCGGGTTTTGAGAATTAAATTTGTGTTGTTATAACAACCGAGTCGACTGTTTTGGTTAGCTCCGGTTATTCTTTTGTTGCCGTTGAAGTGAAAGTCTAGAAATATAACAAAACACTTAATGTCAGGTCCCTTGCGAAACCAGTTAGTTTTGTTAGTTTCGACTTCGTCTCGGGAAACATCAGGACTCAAGCGAAAACAAAACTAACTGTTTCCCTCGGGATGTGACGTTAAGTGTATAATGTACACGACTATATACTACATACAAATGAATACAAAGTAAGTTGCCCAATTTCCAAAAAAGTTCTTAATAACTCACAGCATTATCAATTAAATAGATACAACAGCCTAAATGTGCAATTTATATTAGCCAAAAAGTCAAATTTATTTACTGTATGTATAGAATTCCAGGAATTGCATCAAATATTTTGAGAAACTTATCGCTTCAATTCACGGGAATTTCAGGAGTGCCCAACGAGAAAAATTTCAAAAGTGATTGGATATCGCCCCCAGTAATATTTTAACAGTTACTAATTGTTTTTAGGTTGATTATTAACTTCTGTGGCAAAATTATATCCGCTCCCCAAAGCCAGCTAAAGCTAGATATTAAAATATAATTTCCAGCCAGAATCTTTATCTTACGTGCTTTTCCCAGCCAGGATTTTTACCAAGAAGGCATTTCCCCAGCCACGAATGTCTCTTTCTTCCCTTTTTTGCCAGCAAACAAAAGACCGACATTTAGCCAGCCAGGAAGATAAATTGAGCCATTTTATGCAGGTGATACGAAAAAATTTATCTCAAGGAAAGCTTAGTGGTGTTTGAGATATTATCTTTGCTCGTTATGATTTCGATGCACATCAACGCGGGATAAAAATGTCATTTCTACGCTCTCACTGGTCTGTGGAGAATATAAGTCGTTTTCACTTCACTCCAAATGAGAGGAAAGTTGCGAGACCGTAAAGAATAAATTAAGAGTTGGTTCACCTGATTTGAACGCAAACTAATGACTAACACCGAGACTCACTAACAACCACGTTTCCAGGGTTCCAAAAAATGGTAACGAGACTGGATTCATTAAGAGAATGTCTAGAGAGAACATTCGCCAAACGTATAACGCTTACTTACTCTTCTTTTGTCTCCCCCCCCCCCTCCAAAAGCTCATTGGTCTAAATTTTATCGAAAATTACGCGTTCCGCTGTCACCAAGAAAGTAACGAAAATTTCGATTAACATTTTGCACAACTCACTATCCAGTTCAGACATTATCAAATGACCGCATCGCGCATTCCAGTATCCAAAACAGTTTCATTATTTCAGCCGATACAGAAATGGAATAGAACAAAAGCATTGTCTATCCAGCGCCAATCAGATGCCTCGAACACACCCTCTCAGTAGCAATAGAAACTCCATGCCAGGAATGCAAAGTCTATTACTTATAATATATAAATAATATTTGGTGTATAAGAAATCATATACCAAAAAAGCACGGAACGTCTATCCTTCATGATGAAGAAAAATAAGCCGTGAAGACGGAAACAAATACCAGAAAGACACAGTCTATCGTTCATGATGAACCGAGAACAACTATGCGGTGCTTACGGAATCAAATGTCAGGAAGTCACAGTCTTTCCTTGAAGATGAAGAACCAACATGCGACGCAGAAGAAATCAAATAGGGGAAAGGCACAGTCTTTACTTGATGATGAAAAGCAGTTACGCGGTACAGAAGATATGGTTCGTCCCCGACCAGTTTTGAAAACTGCAACGGCTATCTTGGGGAGAAGTGGCCTATAATTATAAATTCCTGATTCAATTTCACATTGAAAAGAAATGTCACGCTTAGAAAGAATGCAGTTCAGCTAGTAAATAACACAAGTGAAAACACAGCCTATAATAGTCAGCTATTTTATCCAGTTTTGACTAGGGCCATATTTTGTCAGTGGTGCCTTTTAATAATTTCTTTTCCGACACAAATTTCGTTATAACGTAACAAACCATCCTGCTGCCGGCTGCCGTTCCTTTCCGTTGCCATTTGTGGGTATTGATTAATACTGTATTCGCACCGACATCTAACTCTGTCTATCCAGAAACAACATAGTATTATAGAAGACAAAGACATTGGCCTTATGCACTCGTTTGCTCCCGTTGGCTAAAAAAAGGAACTTCTCACCAATTCCCGGCTGGTGGGAAATACTAGAAATACAACATGTATTTGTTTTGCCTCGTGATGACCGGAAAATCTGCTGTTACAATAGTGACGCATAAAATTTATGGTTCTTTCAGTTATGGCTCTTTTAAATTTGTCTCAGTTAGAATCTGCACTGAATGACTTCATTTCGCAAACTAAGAATAGCATACAAATATTATATAACTATAGCATACAAATAAATACAAACTTACCTGCAACACTTGGTCCTCATGTAATAACAAGTTTTGAAGGGTGTTGTGCCAGAGATTGAGGGTTGAGATTGACGACTAGCATGTGAACAGGCTACTTGTAAAAGAAAAGGCAAGCGAGAGAAAACAAGGGAGCCTGTTCAAAAAGGCTTTGATACTTTGGCAGTTCTACATCCATAAAACGACTTATTGGTGTCGAATCCCGAAGCGTGCCTAGATGTATCTGGTCAACCAATACACCAAACAGATAAAAACATCTGAGGTCAATCGGAAGGCATGCGCCTTATGAAATATTGTCCAGAATGATCGATACCAGCAAAACACTTTAGTAGCAAAATCGCTCTGATTAGGCAAATGTACTTTTTTGTTACTTTCCACTCTAAATTATCGTCTACAGTAGATAAGTAACAAGACTAACCAAATCTATTTGGGGTGGTTTTAGCTGCAAGAACGGTTCGGTTCCATTTTCTTAGAGAAATCCATATTACTGGAAATCAAGACACAAACGCGTAGGCTATATTTTCGCCAGTAAGTAACTACACATATTACTCCGTTTAGCATTCTAGCTATTTGCAGCTGACATTTTGTCGAAACAAAAGGACTTGAACGAAAAGGCATTATGTGCTATAGTAAAACAAAAATGCTGTCTCTGAACAGTCATGGCTAATGGAGGTGCATACCGTACCCCATACCGTATCATTGTCAAGGTCAACATGATCGTGATAAAATCAAAAGGCATTCTTACCTGCTGGACTTACTTTTACGATGATCTCTTAACCAGGCTATTGGAACAGTGACCCTGCCCGCTATTGGAAGGATGCACTAAAAATTGATCACAAAATGCAAAAAGACAGTTGAGACCATAAAGCAACTTACCAAAACTTGCAAAAGGCATTAAGATGAAAGCAAGGACATAGAGGAAAGATTACTTACCTAGAAATCAGCAGAGTTTGGATGTAGCAGAAATTGTCCAAAACCCGTAAAAATTCAGTTGAATCACACAAACTGGAGACACAAAATAACCACCGCGACTATGACCGCCACTCCTCAGATGGCATTCCTTGCGCAATAAATATTATGAGTTCTCTATCAAAATCCCAACACTGACACCATAACAAAAGACAGGGATGTTTTTTAAAAAAGAAATTGCATTGTTTGCTGACAGCGTTTTAATGACTGACGTATTCAGTTAACATTTGGTACACGCCTTTTGTCTATCAATTTAGTGACAATTGTATACACGCGCTCGACTTTGCACTAGCCTGCGGTGCACCGTAGTTGTCACTCACAGCCAGCGCTATCTTTGAAATTTCTTTACTAGGTGTCATTTTACTACTCCAGCCAAAAAATAACCGGCCAATAAATTAGCCAGAGCACACTTTCAAAAGCCACAGGAAGCCAGGGGGGAAGGGGTTTTTTTTGGCCGAGCCAGCATCGGTATTCAAAGGGACAACCACAGCAAGAAAAGCGTTTCGGCGAAATTCCCAGCTAGAGTTTCTCATTCATTATTTAGTTACTAGCCAGCAAATTCTTAGCCTGAGGAGCGGACATTTTGAGGAGCGGATTCGTTGGGTACTCCTGGAATTTTATTACCTTCACTTTCTTTTAAACTCTTCGCTCGAGAAAACATGACCTACAATAAACAAGATTTCTCCGTTCTTAAGTTTTTCACATCCCACTTTATCGACGGTTGAGTGCTTTGTAGGATACAGTATTTATTTTCCCCTACAACGATAAAAAGGAGTGTTTTCATTCTGAATCGATTGACGACGAACCGAGGGCCTTGACTCGAGAGCCACAAAATCGAGGTAAATTCGGTGATATACACACCGTAAATGACCTAATAAATTAACGCCCACTTGTGGGGGCGTGTGTGGCCGAGTGGTTAACACCTCGAACTCCGGATCTGGAGGTCCGGAGTTCAAGCCTCGCCCGTCGCGTTGTTTCCTTAGACCGCAAGGAACTTTACTCCACTTTGTCTCTCCTCACCCAGGTGTATAAATTGGTACCGGCGACATACTGCTGGGGGGTAACCCTGCAATGAACTAGCATCCCGTCCAGGGGGAAGTAGCAATACTCCTAATGCTTCATGTTAAAGAAACTGGTATAAGCTCCAGCCGTTTGGGCCTTTGGCTCGGGTAAGCGTTCACTTTTTACCTTACCACTTCCAAATAAACGCCTCTTGTCAAGTAGACGCCCCCTCTACGCTGTTAAGATTTCATTAGATGCCCCTCTCTAATAAACGCCCCCTGTCTAAATGACGCCCCCTATGAGAATCACTCCAAAAAAAAATGCAAAGTCATAAAATTCAGTCAGTTTCTTGCGTGATTAACAAAGGTTTGCGATTTTCATCTTGTTCGATGTCAAGTTTAAGTGAGGATAGACTAACAATGGCAACACAATAACAATGAGCGAGGATTCTGAGATAGATGTTGGGATTTGAAAGACCGATATGGATCTCTAGATGGCCTAGACGCATCAACTGATGGAGTGCGTTTTCCACTATTTTTAAGCTCTATTGCTATTTTCTCTGAAAGCATATTAGTTTCGTTGAACTTCAATCACGAGAATAAAAGCCTCTCTCTTTTAAACGCCTCTTATCTATTGAACGCCCCCGCTTGGACCCCTAAAATTAAATAGACCCCCCCCGGAAGTTTATTAGGTTATTTACCGTCGGTACTTGCAAACTAAGTGAGCGTTTCTTTACTAAAATCCAAGATCAGATCAAAAATCCGGATCACTAGGATTTTTTGTTGAGAAAAGAAATGATGTATCCAAAAAGCGATTATTTTTTATTCATTTCCGTAGAAACGACCCACAATATTGAAGTTATCCGGGAGAAAGAATAACACGGCTGCTAACAGTGTTTCAAGTTTGCTGATCTTTCTTTGTATTCTATACGGCTAGCTTTAGGATACTGCTTCAGACGGGCCAAATGAAGATGAATCTTGAAATAAGATATACGTATTGAAAAAGTAAAGTCTTGCAAGATGCGCCGGCGAAGTTGTGTAGCAGTTTTGTTCTAATGAACTAGAACAATGCGAGTTTGCCTTTTGGTCGAGGGTCGAGGGTCGAGGGTCGAGGGTAAATGGTCGAGGGTCGAGGGTAACTAGTCGACGGTCGAGGGTAAATGGTCGAGGGTCGAAAAATCCTCCACAATTATTTCTGAATTTTTTTTCAATTTAAAACCTTAATTAATTAATTTTATATGGCCTCAAGATTGGAATGTAGCCGACTAGCTGGTGACTCGCTAGTGTGGCAAACTTTGCAATTGGAGTCTGGGCGTGAATTTCTTGTTAGTATTTGCTATAGTTGTTTGCCAGCCTGTGAAGTCCGTGAAAGTGGCATTTGACAAGTTGATTTATTAAGTTGTTATCGTTGAGTTTTACACGTTTTTGTCTTAAAGGCAGTAAAATAATCACGCTGACCCAGGTCTCACATCATGGGACAAAGCTAGTGGACGTGGGAAATATTAAATACAAACAGTGAAAGTTACCAGATTAGCAGCCTTTTCATAAGCGAGTGAAACGTTAGACAAGAAAACCATTGGGTCTTTGCTTTCAATATTCAATATTGTTTACTCGAATGTTACAACGATACATGATGCACGTGCCACTAGATGTTAATGTAATATCACCTTCATCACCGTGGGAGTGCAAAAGTTATAAACAACACAAGACAAATAAAACAGGCACCGGAAACTCGAGTAAACACGGGCCTTCTTCAAAATTTGATTTGACGACGTTCAGAAATAATTGTGGAGGATTTTTCGACCCTCGATTAGTCTTAAGCGAGTGAAATATTAGACAACAAAACCATTGGGTGTGTGCAAGAGACTATAAAGGGGACAGAGAGGGCATCCCCCATATACACCCTATTCCATAGGTAATTCGTCTCGAGTTATTTTTA